CAATCCATGAGGCTGAAGGCTGAATGGGCTATTGACTTAGAGGCCATGAGGGCGAGAGGAATAATTGTCTTAGTAAAATCCAGCTGGTTGGTCAAAAATATCGACAATAAAAACATTTTAGCTAGTTAAAGCTAGACTTTAATCCTTTTTTGCCGCCAAAAAACGCTCGCTACTAGTAGGCTATGACATATAGCCTAGAAGTAGCTCAACCAATGAGAACGCAGCATTGATAACAGACCACTAGTTGGACCCAAGCCGAACGAATTTTTCGAGCACGAGCGCGAAGCGGAGCAGGATAGAAAAAAAAGTCATTTACCCACCGCGTTCCTTGTGACGGTCTAATGAAGAACAAAGAAAAAGAAGGATATCACAAGACCTAGCCTTCTCCGCCTCTCCTATAATTACAGACAAATTTGGATTCGAAGCAAACGAAATGCTGGTAATTGGGTCAAAGATGTGTTCTGAGCATATGCATAATTGGCTATATTTCCCGCTAGGAGACCTAATGAGAACAAATTGGACTTTTCCCCAAACGTAAATCTTGAGGTTTTCTTGTGCCTTAGCGTTAAATTATGGTCACGTGACATGACATGTTACCAAAAATTGAAAATGAAGGAAATTGGCGAATTGGTGGCGAAATTACTTTGTTCTGATAAACAAATTGGCGTTTCGGAAAAAGAATGAATATACCTAACTTTCTACGTTTGGAATGAATGTATGCGAAGTTAAAAATTAAAGTTTTAAATAATTCAAGATTAAATTTGGGCATTTAAAATAATGTTTTCCCTCACAATTTTTTATCAAAGTGAATGGACGGTCATTCCAAATGTTAGGTGTTAGAAATCTTTAATCTGAATTAGAAAAATATTATTTCCCGATTTCTTTTCTGAAACCGGCCACCAATTGGTCAATAATTTACGATTTTTAGCAAAATGGTCACGTGACATATCACTTGCCTTATTAACACTATGTTTATACTTTAAAATGTTAAGGGCGATGAGCTCTTTATGAGTGCCAAATTTCGATTCAGCACCCTCATCCGTGCCGAAGTTATAGTCAATAATTCATTTTCCACAGTTAAACCCCTTAGTCCCAGGCCTTAAACTACTTAAGAATTGATGAAGGTTGCAGTAAAAAGGCAATCAATTAACTGCGTAAAGAAAAGTGAACTTTCTTTATTTATCTCTACACGTCCCATGTATGCCGTCTAGTTGTTCTAAAAGATCGACTCATTATCATCTTTATTCGGTCGATAAAGGTACATATCGAAAGACAAAAAGTCATAAAAATTGCAAATCATTTTAAAAGTTACAATTCAACCTGGTCCCCAGGGCGCTTTTCCCTGGCTTTTCGGGAAAAGCGCCCTGGGGACCAGGTTGGTTACAATTAAAGAAGGATCACATTGCTAAGTTATAATTAAGGCATATCCTATTTACAAGGCAGTTCTTAAAACGCTCAGGGTTAACGAGGAAGCTGAGATGTCTTTCTTTGAAGCCTGTGCCGGCGGAAGAGTCCTTTACGGTCGGTAAGATAGAATATAGCGGATGATGTTATCATAAAGCTTTCTGTCAGCCGATTGTTTAGTCTGCTACACAGCCGTTGAGCGTTGCGTGACGACACTAAAAACCAGGGCGTAACACATCGATAATTCCGATACTCGATCAAAATCGATAAACATCGATAAACATCGATACTAATCAATTGATTAATATCGGAAATCGATAAAAATCGATCGCCAGATTTTTTGTGATTATCGATTTGATCGATTTCGTTCGATTAGTATCGATTTCGTTCGATTAGTATCGATTTCGATGGATAATATTGGGCAAGAAAAGGTACTGTTCACGCTTATAGAACGAAGAATATACGTTAGCGAACTAACCTAAGACGTTCGTTAGCGAAACAACTGCTAAGCGAAACAACCGGTTTCCCGCTAAAAGATTCCATTTCAATGAAGTTTGTTTGAACAATCTTTTATTTGTCTCTCCTAACCTTTTTGACGCTGTGAAACACTGTAAGACATGAACATATATATTCTTCTCGCGGGTATCGAAACGAAGAAATGATTCACCTTAAAAATTGACGTTAATTACTATCTACATTGTATTTCATATCTTTTAAAACAATAGTAAAACAACAACAGTAACAAAACAACAGTAACAGTAACAGTAACAGTAACTTCATATCAAACTGATAAAAATGCTGAGAATGGCACAAACGCTGTTCAAAACAGGATCTGATAAAATGCCGCGGGCACCCCACCCCCTCGACCCAGTCTCCCCTAATTTCTTAGTTATCGCGCCTTGCTCTCGCCGATGCGTTTGACAAACACGCTAAAGCCGGCTAAAGGTGTTCTGTCGACTATCTGTGACTGACTATATTTGCACATTTTTCTAATATACTCAGCAGCATACTGAATGCAGAGTGAATGGGCCGGTGAATGCTCAATGGGTCGGTGGGTCAAAGAATTTAATCTCAAACCGAAAATGATGGCTGCTGACAAAATGCGTTTGCTGAAGTTTGCTAGTTTGACGCCTGAGAGTTGCCGTTGTTCGGCGTTGTTTAATAGCCGGTGTTAAGGTATGAAAGCAGATGAAAGCAATGGTTAATCAGAGTTAAAACAGGGTACACTAAGCCAGTCTTGCTTTGTAGTAAATATATTCAACACTATTGTTTCGATCAAATTGGCTTACTCGGGGCAGATTATGAGCGGTTGTTTTCTCGTGGAATCCTCGAAAATTTCACGAAATCGATAGAAATCGATACCAAATGCTCAAACTTGTGTGATTATCGATTTTGATCGATTAATTTGCTTAATCGATTGATTATTATCGAGTAATATCGAGTAGTATCGATTTATCGATTAGCTTTCCGATGATCGATTTCGATCGATGTGTTACGCCCTGTAAAAACGGAGCAGACTACCGATTGTTCTAAAAGATCATAAATACTTCATTTGTCGGGGATGTAGCGTCTTTAATGACATTTTTTTAGAAAGCATTCAATGACAAAAAGGTCAGCCTTGCTTGCACCATAAAACCCCGAGCCTGAGACAGAACAGTTAGCTAAAAAGCTAGAACGTTGACAGCAATCGGAAGTAACGCAAGGTTCCTCTGAAGCTAAGAATCAAATTAGGTGACGAATTACTCCTTAATTATCGCGCGAAATTTCAGCGTTAATTTGTAATTTCACATGTGAAATGGCAACCCTCCGTCCGTCTCAGTGTCAAGATGGCGACGAAGTTTTAAAATGCCGTGAATGAAGATATCAGGGTACAAAAAGACGCTTTAGAACACCTGAACACACAAGAGAACATCAAGAAGGATTCTAACAGGTATTTTTCCGAAAAAGTCTGAAAAATTCTGAACTTTGTAAGCCAAATTTAAGGTCTAAACTTTTGAGAGAGTGGAGTTCTCGATCGATACGATCCAGGATAAACATGTCAAAAATCTAAGATTGCTAACGTAATTCGTCACCCATGATATTAATGGGTAATCAAATGGTATACTCGTGAAATTAGGGAACAATTTCTCTTGCGTTTTGTAGGCTCGGCAAATTATTAGGATTTGGTCATACTCGTCACCATTTGATTACACATACTAATATTTCCATATTTCCATATTTCCACACTTCCAAAGTTAGCAACGAAAACTACTCAATTCTACGTTTACATACATTTGTCTTTATAAAATAACTAAGATAGTACGCGCGCTCTGATTGGCCGAGAAGAGTGTTTGCATGAGAGTATACATAAACATGGTTGTGGCGTCAAGTTGTTTGGCTTTTCGCGCGCTAATCACGCAAGCAGGAATTTGAAAAAGTTTTCGAGTTCAAACTCGACAAGTTTATCTTATTTGCCCATTCCTTCGTCGGCTGAAACATGGAAAACCGTTACAATGAAGGTGAGTCAATTTTTCTTCGCTTAAGCTGACATTTTAATAGAGAAAAATCCGTATTTTGCAAAGCCTCTTTTTGCAAATCAAGAACTGATTACGCGTGCAAGACTTCGTGGACAAGATTTTGCGACTGCTTAGATTTTCTCTTTTAATCAGTGCCATACATAGAGTTTTGCGTTTTTTCTCGGGAAAGTTATTTTACAAAAGCAATAGAAAACTTTTTTCCTGTGTTTGCATAGCCTGATATAAACACTCTAGGCGTTGGAAGAATTCTCGACGGTTAGGCGAATTCTCCCAACCCCTCTCGTGTTTTTATCAGGCTATGCAAACACGGAAAACGTTTTCTTTTGCTTAACTATTACGACTACTGTCGCATATATTTGTCATGAATTAACGATAACGTTACCGGCTTTTACCCATACCATTCTGATGGCGCGTTCTGTGCTCTTCTACCAGAAGAAGTTAAAGCCACAAAACGCGGGAGGTTGATTCCAGTTCATAAATAGGGGATGAGGATAAGTTGGGGGTTGTGGAGTAAACATCATGGGTTGATACATAAATGGGGGTTGAGGATAAGCTAGGGGTTGTGGAGCAAAGAACATGGGTGGTTGAAAATAACTCGGGGTTGGGAAACAAACCACCGGAGGTTGATTCATAACTAGGGGTTGAGGATAAGTTGGGGGTTGTGGAGCAAACACCTTGGGTTGATTCACAACTTGCGGTTGAGGATAAGTTGGGGGTTGTGGAGCAAACGCTTTGGGTTGATTCACAACTTGCGGTTGAGGATAAGTTGGGGGTTGTGGAGCAAACGCCTTGAGTTGATTCACAACTTGCGGTTGAGGATAAGTTGGGGGTTGTGGAGCAAACGCTTTGGGTTGATTCCTAACTGGAGATTGAGGATACGTTGGTTTTCGGAGAGCAAATATCGGAGGCTGGGGGGTTGGTGAACGTTGGTTATAACCTTCTGAGGATGCAACACCTCGCAGCCTGTGTTGACGAGATGGCGACGAATTATGTGGAGGAGACCTTAGGCGAGAGTAAACATCCGTGTCTGTTACGGATTGTTGCAAATTCTGTGATATTTCTCTCTCATAAGATACAGAAACCTTTTCTTCTCTTACACTGTAAGAAAAATGATCATCACGAAAACGCCTAGCACGAACCATAACATGTCTCCTGCGAAAATGTAAACCTCTCTGCCGATTACTCCGATATGGCGACGAATTTTCAGGAGGATGTGGCTTCATAGCTCTAGGGGGAGCGGGTGCGAGTTCATTATCTGATGGTCTTCCTCTCTCACATAGAGGCGAAAATGTGTCTCCTCTTATGCCTGAGTACGGATGAGCAAAACCTGGGTCACTATTTCACAAGGGTTTTCATGACCACGGATCAGTTCTTGGTGAATTTTTCTTGCACTTGGTCGATCGTTTTTGTCAAATTTCAAGGCACTAAGAGTTATCCGTCGCAGAGCACATGAGCCTTGCGCCTCCGCTCGTCTAGTAAATTTGATGCAATTTCGTGGATCACGCCACATTGCATACCCAAGTCCAACACATTCCCCGTCAATAAACTTGAACGCACCGAAATAACTCTCTCTACCAATACGAATAAAGTCCCTCTCTAAGGTCGCAAAAAATATTGCACCAAGTGAAAAAACGTCAGCTTTTTCAGTGTAATGGCCTTTAAAAACTTCGGGGGCCATCCAGTATGGCGTACCAACTCGTGAGATCATATAATCTTGTTGTGTTTTTACGTAGCGATCCACCCATGAGCGCAAGCTAAGTTTTTGTCTAGAATCGATCGTCATTTCGGTGTACTCACGGGCCAAGCCAAAATCAGCTAATTTGACATCCTCTGTTACCGTTAACAGCACGTTGTCTGGTTTTAAATCACGGTGAACAACTCTTCTTGAATGGAGGTACTCAAGAGCTGCGGCCATTTGGCACATCCACCGAAAGTTTAATTCTGGACTGCTTGCTCTAGCAAGGCGCTTGTTCATGTTTCCACCAGAGCAGTACTCAGTCAAAATCAACATATGCAAACCTTGGCTATCTCTCAGTTGTTCGGCCTTCTCAAGTGCAATTATGTTCTCGTGACAGACTTGCTTCAGTGTTTGAGCCTCCCGAATAGCTTGCTGAATTTGTTCAGGTTGTGAATCGCACGAGCATAAGATGTCCTTCAAAGCGTATACTCTAGAAGTTGCTTCATCTTTCACTTTGTATACCACACCGAAACCGCCGCTGCCGAGCCGCTTTTCGATTCTTAGTATTCTCGTTCCGAGTTGTACTCTTGAAGAGTTTTGCATTGTTTCAGTGAGATGGAATCGTGTACGTATTTCACGAGGGAGGAGCAAACTATCAACTGGACGCAGAAGCTTTTCAGTACTTGGGATAGACAGTCAGAACAACAACAACGAAGAAGATACGGTAGAAAGCTTGTGTGTGATTAAAGCGATGAACAATGGATTTGAAATGTTAGAGTTCTTTTGATGTACGTGATAATTTTTGGGCAATTTTGTGTGTTAGGGTCTGTTTACATGGAGGGGCAACCTCGTCCCCAGGGCGCATTTCCAAAGCCCGGGAAAAGCGCCCTGGGGACGAGGTTGATGGAGGGGGGTACCCCAGGTAGGTGAGGTAACCCGCTTAGATGGGGTAACCCGTCTGTCCATACAATCTCTCACATTAATTTGATCACGTTTACATGATAGGTCGGGTGACCCTCCGCATGTTACCTCACCTATCTGGGGTCCCACCTCCATGCAAACAGGCCCTTATTATCATCTTCGGGTCTTAAAAAAATCCTCTAGACATTCCCGAGATATTCTAGCTTTTTCTTACTGCTGCGAAGCCACCAGGTTTCTCAGCAGCCTAATTCAGGTCGAGTACGTGACCAGCCTGAGTTGCCTGTGCCCGAAGCCAGCCTCATTTGAGACTTCTGGATGTATGTATGTATATCACAACATTTGCCTCGATTCAAGTTTGTCTCTCGAGATCGAGGCTATTTTGTTTGCATTCAATCAGATTTCAGGAAGAAAACCTAACCTAGGAGATATCCTGTTCCGTATAGAAAGCCACCGGTTTTTACAGGCGAGGAGTATGAATTAATGCAGGTGAAGGTAAAAAATTCCCTTGAATTGAAGCGTTACGTTTCTCAGAATGTTTCAAGCAATTCCTGGAACTCTAAGGTAAATCAGGGCGTAACACATCGATCGAAATCGATCATCGGAAAGCTAATCGATAAATCGATACTACTCGATATTACTCGATAATAATCAATCGATTAAGCAAATTAATCGATCAAAATCGATAATCACACAAGTTTGAGCATTTGGTATCGATTTCTATCGATTTCGTGAAATTTTCGAGGATTCCACGAGAAAACAACCGCTCATAATCTGCCCCGAGTAAGCCAATTTGATCGAAACAATAGTGTTGAATATATTTACTACAAAGCAAGACTGGCTTAGTGCACCCTGTTTTAACTCTGATTAACCATTGCTTTCATCTGCTTTCATACCTTAACACCGGCTATTAAACAACGCCGAACAACGGCAACTCTCAGGCGTCAAACTAGCAAACTTCAGCAAACGCATTTTGTCAGCAGCCATCATTTTCGGTTTGAGATTAAATTCTTTGACCCACCGACCCATTGAGCATTCACCGGCCCATTCACTCTGCATTCAGTATGCTGCTGAGTATATTAGAAAAATGTGCAAATATAGTCAGTCACAGATAGTCGACAGAACACCTTTAGCCGGCTTTAGCGTGTTTGTCAAACGCATCGGCGAGAGCAAGGCGCGATAACTAAGAAATTAGGGGAGACTGGGTCGAGGGGTGGGGTGCCCGCGGCATTTTATCAGATCCTGTTTTGAACAGCGTTTGTGCCATTCTCAGCATTTTTATCAGTTTGATATGAAGTTACTGTTACTGTTACTGTTACTGTTGTTTTGTTACTGTTGTTGTTTTACTATTGTTTTAAAAGATATGAAATACAATGTAGATAGTAATTAACGTCAATTTTTAAGGTGAATCATTTCTTCGTTTCGATACCCGCGAGAAGAATATATATGTTCATGTCTTACAGTGTTTCACAGCGTCAAAAAGGTTAGGAGAGACAAATAAAAGATTGTTCAAACAAACTTCATTGAAATGGAATCTTTTAGCGGGAAACCGGTTGTTTCGCTTAGCAGTTGTTTCGCTAACGAACGTCTTAGGTTAGTTCGCTAACGTATATTCTTCGTTCTATAAGCGTGAACAGTACCTTTTCTTGCCCAATATTATCCATCGAAATCGATACTAATCGAACGAAATCGATACTAATCGAACGAAATCGATCAAATCGATAATCACAAAAAATCTGGCGATCGATTTTTATCGATTTCCGATATTAATCAATTGATTAGTATCGATGTTTATCGATGTTTATCGATTTTGATCGAGTATCGGAATTATCGATGTGTTACGCCCTGGGTAAATAAAGTCGGTGGTTCGGCTAAATTTGTATTCAGACAGGCATTGTTGTATTTATTTAATTGATAAATTGCTTTAGTTATGAAGAGCTTTTCTCGAAAGTGTGACAAGGTTTGTTCTCCCTTGGTAGTAAATCGTACGCGTTTTATAGACGACGGAAGCAAAGATTGAAAATGATTTGATACGCTCTTGAACCAGTTTAATATTAGTCTGCTACACAGCCGAGGAGCGTTGCGTGACGACACTTAAAACGACTGTGTAGCAGACTAGTTTAATATTGAACTCGATTTGGAAACTCACTCTTTTACTTACTCCATAGCCTGTTCGCAGACCCCCTATTTCTCTTCAAAGTCCTCCAATAGGCCTGCACCGTTTTCAAGGTTGTCTGTGATTGGCTAGTATGTTAGTTCCACTCCGACCACCCCGACCACCCCGACCACCGCGACCACCATAAACCACCATAAACCACCATAGATTATACTGTAGTCATGGGTGCCGCCTTGTAATTACGCGTCACACAATTACGATCCTAAAAGTATGTTCTCTCTTTTGGTTCGGCACTCGAGCATTAATAAAAGAACGAAACTCTTAATTTGATGATATATATATTTTTCTCTCCTCAACCTGAGAAACAATTAGCCTGTACTTTTTCGCATGGAGAACAATTCTTACTGGGTATCGCAACTGAAATTGTCATCGTGACAATTTCAGTTCCGATTCCCAAAAAGGGAAGAAATCGTTCCATATCAACTCACTCAAATAATAATATTATATTATGTTGAAAAGAATTATGCTTCAGATATACGATTAGCCAATCACAGACGACCTTGCAATCGGTGCAGGCTGATTGTCAAAGTCCGTCGAGCGCGAGTGATAAAAAATAAACCGCGGGGGATTTATTGATCACCAGCGCGTGTTCGCCTCGCTCTCGCGCACGCCGATGAAAAGCAAAAAGAAAGCGAAAAATAAAACAACGTCTGTGTACAGGCTAAGAGCGCGCGAAAAATGGCGCAAGTAAACAAAATCCCCTTCCTCGGTCTTTCTTTGCTCCGAAACCAAATGGAAACGCTTGTTACGCAGGCTACTCACTCCATCGCTCGCGTGCTCTTGATCTTAAAATCGTGGACCGCTTTTAGTTACGCCTCACAATACGCAAAAAAGAAGAAGAACTAAAGAAAAGAACAAAGTAGAACCCTTCACGACGATTTTCGAGGTGGGTTACCCATCCAAATCCTAGCCCCGCCGGACAGGGTTTAACTTCAAATTTCAAATTTCAGTTTTTATCGATCGCCTTCGCGTTGTGGTAATAGAAACTGCAACTGATTCAAAGTAATTGAAATGCAATGCTTTACTCGCAGCACTTCACTTTCCGATGGAAATTACTAGTTCTGGCTATATTTTGGACGGTATGTTGAAGCCACAAATATAATGATTGACCTCAAATCAGACTGACCTCAAATAAAGCTATCCTGATTCAAGTACGCACAAGCAGTCAAACAAAAGGTCTGGAAGGAAGCTGAAATCTGGGGAGAGACGCTAAAAGTACTTTTTTCCCCTCTCTTCACACGCCCTACGGGCGTGAGGCTCGCTTGAGACTCTTACCCCACGATTTACCGATTTAACGTACCTGTAACAATACTATCTGGAATAGACGGGAGTATACAAAGTACAAACGGGCATATACAGAGAAGAAAAAGTGCGTGCAGGCACGCTAGCTTCGTGAACATGGCTGCCACGTTCTTTCTCTCTTGCGACAACTCGGAAGCGACAACGTGGAAGCAACAACTCGGAAGTGACAACTCGGAATGCGACAACGTGGAAGACAGTTGTCAAGTGGTAAAAACTTGAATATGAACTCGTGTATTTTCAAAGAAAGTAATATTAACATCTTAGTGGTTCGCACGCCCCCCCTCCCTCCAACCATCCATCCATCTATCCACTGGAGGAGGTCCATAAAATGTCTGGGATGGAAGGACGGAGAGAATTTTAGTAAATAGTGTAGCTTGGAAGAGCGGGTTTCAACACTGGCTCTAGTAATGGAAGGTGAGATGTAGTAAATCTCCTTCTGGTTGGAGTAAATTTGAACCCAGTGCTCTGTCGTTAAAAAGGATTTTCTGGAATTTGAACGGGGTTCGTGTTGTTAAGGAAGGGTAGCTAATGTTTCATAGGTCCCGTGTTCACCCCATCTGAACCTCCTACATGTGTAATTATAGTCAAAAGGAAATGGGTGTAATAGTGAATAATTGCAGGCGAATAAGCAGCTAACCCATGCTATCTTTCATAATAAGCGTAATAATAATTACGTGTGAAGTGTGCCATTAGTGGTGAGTGGATGAAATGGTGGGAGATAATGCTGCTTTGAACAAAATAGAATTTACATGTAGCAATGTCATTAAGGATGCAGTTGAGGAGAATTATGAAAGTGATCATGACTCATGATTATTGAATATGCGGTACCCTCATAGAACGACTGCGCCGTATTCTTCAAAAGCTAGATGCTACGATGAATCCCTTTTCAGGTTTTTGTTCAACTTTTATATGTTGAAGTTTAACCCCGGTTAAAATTGCAAACCTCCCTGTGGTCGGTAGTCTCCCTCGGAGCCGTTTTTTGGATGTCACGCAACGCTCCTTTTGGAGCGTTGCGTGACATCCAAAAAACGGCTGCGAGGGAGACTATGTGGTCGGTGTTCGTAACCATTAAATGAGAATGTCTGTTAAGCTATCGTTATGTGGCGCTCTTTTCACTGCCTCCGTCAAAAGATTATTCATCATTGATAAATAATAGACTGTATTAATCAATCACGACTGTAAAAGCTTTGTGTGGACGGATCCGGCA